GGCAAGTCCAGAGTTCAGAGGTAGGGCGGCAACATTGGAAGCCTCCTTGCATTTTTAGCTGAAAAAACACTAAATCAGTGACAGAAGTGGGGGACACCTACCGTTTTTGCTATTTGGGCAAATGGAATGAAAGATAAAGGCTTGTCCCAGAGGTTGAGACACTCAGAGAAGCCAGGCTTGCTGGATGGTAGAGTGAGGACACCACCTCAGGTCACTGGTTCCCGGGGGGGCTCAAGAGTCAGCACATTGCTATTTAAGTACACATTTCCAGGTCCTATCTTGGGAGAGTACAAGTTCAAATGTTGTTTGCTTTAAACCAGTTCACATAGTCCTTAGCAGTCTGATAGCACTACTTGGAATTTACTGGGAAACTGTTATAATAAATAAGTAAACTTGTGATGCATTTCTCCACACACAGCATCACTTAAGGATCAAGGTAAATGCAGAGAATTTTATTAAAATGTCTTATGACGGGTACTTGGGTGGCAAGGTCGATTGAGTATCCGGCTCTTGATTTTAGCTCAGGACATGATCTTGGGGTCATAAGATCAAGCCCCGTGTTGGGTTCTGTGGTTGGCACAGAGTCTGCTTGGGATTCTCTCTCCCTCTCCCTCTGCCCCTCCCCTGGCGCGCACACGCGTGCTCTCTCTCTCCTCAAATAACTTTTTTTAAAGTTAAAAAAAAAGGTCTCAGATACAGCTTTAGAAGGGTTTACTTAGAAATGCGGGTCCAGGGGTGCCTCTCTGGCTCAGTCAGTAGAGTACAACTCTTGGGAGTTGTAAGTTCGTGCCCTACGTTGGGTAGAGATTACTTAAAAATATAATCTTTCTTTAAAAAAATAAAGAAATAGGGGTCCTCCCCACCTGACACTGATCGTCTTTGAGCTCATTGGGGAGCTAGCTCCAGAATGTGGTGGCTAGAAGATGGGGCACTGTGGGGCAGGAGCCAGGGCCTCACCAGGGGGAGAGGATTTGCCCTGGGCTGTCCAAGCTCTCTCACTCGGCCATACGGGGCCTTGGGACAGTCCCTAAACCACCCACCCCCCCCCAACTAGCTTTAGAGAATGAAATCAAGTGTAGGCACTTGAAAATGTTGTGTTTAATTGCTTCATGTTGTGGCTGGTGCATAGTAAGCTCTCAGACTTTTGCTTTTACTAGTTGGTGAATATTTGAGTATTTTATGATTAAGAACTGGGCAGGGAGGACCTGAACCACTCCACTCTACTCCTCTCCCCACCCCACCCTCACCGCCATTACTTTAAAGCAAATTCCAAATACGTTATTTACTTGCAAATAATTCAGTGTGCCCCCCCTTTTTTTTTAAGATTTTTATTTATTTGAGAGAGAGTGAGAGATCAGAGAGGGAGAGGGAGAAGCAGACTCACCGCTGAGCAGGGAATCCAGTTGTGGGGCTCCATCCCAGGACCCTGGGATCATGACCTGAGCCAAAGGCAGACGCTTAACCAACTGAGCCACCCAGGTGCCCCTGTTTTTGTTTTTGTTTTTTAATGTAATCTGCTAGGCTGTTAACTCATTAAAATTAATAGTAATTTCTGGATATATCCATACTCAACCCGGTCTATTTATGGACTCCCGTTATCTCTACATGTCTTTCTGAGTCTCCTTGTTTAAATCCGCATCCAAACAAGGCCTGCCTGCTGTGTGTTTTGGGCTCACGCCCTCTTTCATTCCTCGGCAGTGCCCTCCCCTCCATGCCTTTATTTTTCGGGGACAACAGGTGTTTGCTTTGTCTCACTGTCCATCACTATTTCCTGTAAACTGGTGGTCACATCCTGGGGCTTGGTTATTTTCACATTCAGCTTACTTGTCTGGCAAGAAAACGTGTGTCATTGCTGTTGATTCCCAGATGGATCACTAGACTCGGGAGTCTTCAGCACATCATCCATTAATAAAGTTCCTGCTGATGACGGTGTGGATGGCGGCTTTCTATCCCCCCGCCCCACAGTAGTTATGTTCTTGTGAAAAACTTTACTCTGCTGGTTGCACAGTGTGGAGACTGCATTGGGGCTCTGGCATCTCCAGTGGGGATCCATGAATCTCTCCGTGCCATTATGAACTTCTGATGTGTTGATGAGTTGTTAGGGTGAAATTGCATCATCTTTGGACAGTGGGACCCCTTTCGGGTTGGCACCGTGCGGCTTTCTGGGGTGACCATTCATGTCCACCATCTCCTGATCTCTAACATGGAGAGTTGCGGGCTGACCTAACGTCAGCTCTTATCCAGGAACTCTTCACCTTTTTAGTAGGACATTGCATGAGTTCAAACTGATCATTCTAATGAAGAGAAGACGAAAGATGATGGAGTTTTAAAATCACTAGAAGGAATGTATGCTCTCATCTTGAGATATAGTTAGGTTGGTACAAAGTCAGAGCTCTGTAATAAGGTTCAGTCAGAGACCGTCTCTGCACCCGGTCCCTCCCTCCCCTGCCAGCTGGCCATTCATAGTCTTTGATGGACCCTTCCCTTGTTCGGGTTTGAGAGTAGAAGCAGAAGATGACTTGACGTAAGAACCCTGTTCTGCACCTTGTTTTTTCCTGCATAGTTTCTGGAGGTGTCTGTGTATCAGCAAATAGTGGCTCTGCTCCTTTCTTTGTACAACTGTGAGATGCTCTGTGGGTGTGCTGTAATTTATTCAAGCATTCCTGGTGATGGGCATTTGGGTGCCGTCCCAATAAAAACCTTGTGTATATGGGATTTCCTGTTTCACCCCGTGTGTCTCAAGATCCATTTCCTAGCAGTGAGATGGCTGGGTCAGAGGGCAGCACATACGTAATTTTGCAGTAGCTGTGAGCCCTGTCCCTCAGGTACTGGGCATTATGTGCATTCCCATGGGCCTCCACCACAGCCTTGCCACGCCCATCAAAGGCTTGGGCTTTTGTCAGTCTGGAAAGTAGCTGAGTGTACTTTTTATTTGGATTTTTCAGATGAACAAGATTGAGTGTCTTTTTAATATCTAAGGGCCATTTGCATTTTGTTCTGTGCACTGTCTTTTCTTTGGCCTTTCCTATCAAGTTAGAGTTGTCCACCTTGTTCAGTGTCGTAGGGTCCTTAAAAACCCTGTACCTTACAGACCATGTTTCCCACATTGTGATTTGTTTTTTGATCTTGGTGTGTTTTGCTATGTGACTTTTTATTCTAGTGCAGTCAAATTTCATTATTCTTTTTGTTCTTTTGAGGCCTTCTTAGGAAAATTTGCTTCACTTCCAGGTTGTAAGAAACCTAATCTTTTCTCTGGTGCCTGGAAGGGGGGCTGTTCCGTTTCAGTTCCTGATAAGTTTGGGATTTCTCGTGAACAGTGCGAGGTGCAGACCCACCTTTGTCCTTCTCCAGACGTCTGTTAGGTTGCCAACACCAGTTTTAAGAGTTTTCCCCCAGTGATTTGATTGGGTGTTTTTATGAAGTCCTAAATTTTCATGTTAACTCGGTTCTTTGTGTGGGTTTTCAGATCCAGCATGTTGATCTGCCTCTCTCTGTACTAGTGTTCTGTTCTCATAGTAGTGGTCTTATATTTATATCTAGTACAGTTGTCACCACCCCTCCTGTACTGTCCTTTTTCAGGATTTTCCTGCCCCATTCTTTTTCGTTCTACCATGCAAACTCTGTAATCCACTTTTTGCTCAGAATTCCATTAGATCTTTTAAGGAGTGTTTTGTGATTTCTAATGCACATATCCCACCTCTTTTGTTGGGTTGTGTCTAGCTACTTTGTTGTTTTTTTTTTCCTGTTGGAATGGCCATTCTTTCCCATTACATCTTCTAATCGGTTGCTGTTAAAGTTGTTGATGCTGGATTCTTATTTTCTTCTCCCTGTTACAGATATCAAAAGTTTTAAAAAGTTGTGGGTTCCCAGGGTTCCCGGGGGTGCAGGCCTGTGTTCTTCCTTGTCCCATCTTTGTGCCTCCTTTGCTTCCTCGGGTCTCCTTCCATGGGGCCACGCTCCCATGGGGGTCCAGCCTCAGCTGGCGCTCCCCTCAAGCACAGCTCCAAGTGCAGGCTGAGCTGGGTGTGTATGTTTTGTCATGTTAAAAAAAATAACATTTTTATTTTCTTGCACATTTTTAATCATGAATAGATTTAAATTTTGTGGAAGCGATCACTTGATTTTTTTTCTCATGTGTAACATTGATTTCCTAATACTGAACCACTTTCAGAGTAAACATTATTGGAGCAGGATTGAGTTATGGTCTGTCTTTTTGCGCTAGTTTATTGCCTCTGTGACACAATGTAACATTTTTGTTTTGAATGTTAAGTGGTCTGCCATAAGCTTGTATCCCTGGCTGGCCTGTGAGTCTCTGCTACACTGGTGTTGGGAGTGCTGACACTTTGCTTTTTTAAGTCTTCTTGGCAGCTCCTTTCTGTACAGAGTCTGGAAGACTAGGAGCCTCTGTCCTCCTCCTTGCTCTCTGTGACTTCAGGAAGTTGCTTGATTTCTAGCAGTTGGACTCATTGGATGTGAAGGCTTTGGATTATTTCTGTTTTATTTCCTCAAGACAAGTTGTCTATTTTAAACTGGTTGTAAAAGAGATAGAAGAATTTATTATCGGATATAGGGTTCATGTCTGGGGGAAAAAAAAATAGCCTGGGCCTCTGGTTAGTCAATATGTATGTGCTTTCCTATCATGTCCTAGGATGGTGTTAGCAATCATCAAAGTGGAAAACAAGACAGATAGCATTCTTGAATATTCCTGTTCTCGTGGTGGCTTTCTGGGCTGAGAAGATGTTGAACAAATAATTACTTCTAAATAATTATGACAGCTGAAGGTGCGACATGGGGCCATGGGAATGTATCGTGCTTGAACTTTTCCTAGCCTTGGGGTCAGGGTAAGCTTCCCCAAGAACGTGATGTTTAACTTGAGACTTCTGAGGGATGGGTTGGGGGTTGGCTAGGCAAGAATGGCATTTCAGCCAGGGGGAATATTGTGGAGAAATAGGCTTTTTCATAACCTAAAAACATTGTTGTTTCCTTTGGTTCTCTTCCTTTTGTAGGCCTCAGCGACTGTAGCCATTCCCAAAGAACACCACCGCTTTGTTATTGGCAAAAATGGAGAGAAACTGCAAGACTTGGAGCTCAAAACTGCAACCAAAATCCAGATCCCACGCCCAGATGACGCCAGCAATCAGATCAGGATCACCGGTACCAAAGAAGGCATTGAGAAAGCTCGCCATGAAGTCCTGCTCATCTCTGCTGAGCAGGTGGGGCCAACTGAGGGCCTGGGGTATGTGTATTGGCCTCAGCCCCAGAGCTGTGCCCTCACGGTGTGTCCTGTCCTTTCCAGGACAAACGTGCTGTCGAGAGGCTGGAAGTGGAGAAGGCGTTCCACCCCTTCATCGCCGGGCCTTATAACCGACTCGTTGGCGAGATCATGCAGGAGACAGGGACGCGCATCAACATCCCCCCACCCAGTGTCAACCGGACAGAAATCGTCTTCACAGGAGAGAAGGAGCAGTTGGCTCAGGCTGTGGCTCGCATCAAGAAGATTTACGAGGAGAAGGTAGCGGTTGGGAAGAGCATGTAGGGGCTATCACGTGGAGATGTGGCTGAGGCCTAGCCCTACCCCTTTCCTCTTGTGTCCAACCGAGTTCAGTTTCCAGTCAGTTAGGAGGTGGGGCTGCTTGGCAGGGAAAGAGTGGACAGAGCTCCGAGCTCTGGGCTGTGGCAGGGCTGCATGCGGCTCCGGAGCTGATCGTGTCTCTGAGTTAGTGGTTAGCTGTTAGTTCACCCCGGCGGACTGTGAGGTCTGAACCTCGTTCTTGGAGGTGTGGAGGGAACTTGGGGTCTTCACCTCTTTGAAGTTGCCGTCTCCAGTCTGGGTGGGGACTTAAATTCTCAGGTGATTCTTATGAGGAGAAAACCCAGTTCTCCTTGCTCAGTGGAGTTTTGGGGGTGGGGTGTTCCCCGTCTTCACTTGCTGGGGCTCACAGAGTATAATCTAGGGCTCTGATCTTGCTCCCTCCCTTTTTGGTGACAGCGTTCTGTCTCCACCTTTTCCTCCCGGGCCCTTCCCTCTGATGCCCTTACGGTGCTCTTCCTTAGAAAAAGAAGACCACAACCATTGCTGTGGAGGTGAAGAAATCCCAACACAAGTATGTCATCGGGCCGAAGGGCAATTCCTTACAGGAGATCCTGGAAAGAACAGGAGTTTCTGTGGAGATCCCACCATCAGACAGCATCTCGGAGACTGTGATACTTCGAGGCGAGCCTGAAAAGCTAGGGCAGGCACTGACTGAAGTCTATGCCAAGGTAACTGCCTTCAGGAGTAGATCACAGCTGCTGCTTGTAGGGCCGGCCTCCCGAATTGCATCTCCGGGGCCCTGGGAGCAGGGACTGTGTCGGGCGGGAAGCAGGAGCATGGAGCCCGGACTGCACAGCCCACCACTCTGCTTCCTGGTTTCCTAGGCCAACAGTTTTACTGTGTCGTCTGTCTCTGCTCCTTCCTGGCTTCACCGGTTCATCATCGGCAAGAAAGGGCAGAATCTGGCCAAAATCACTCAGCAGATGCCCAAGGTGAGGAGGCGTTGGGAATTTGTTACTCGGGGTTCTTCTTGCTTTTGTCCTCCCATTTCTGACATTTGTTTTCTTGCTGTTTATTCTGGGGATGGCCCTGAAGAAGATCGTGGCACACTGTGTGACTGTTTCCACGGTTAGCTGAGGAAGAGCAAAATAAATTTTTAAAAATATCTCTGTCATTCTTTTGATCTTTTTAATCAGAGACCGTGCGTATTGTTGGGTTTCATGACCACCTTAGCAGACGTGCCCTCTGTCCCGGCACAGTAACTTTCCCACAGTTCTGTGTGTGCTCTCGGAAGAGCAGACGTGTGCACAGCGCGTGTGAAGCGTGGAGTGACGGCCTCTTTGAATGCTTTCCATCTCTGTCCTTGACATCTTCCCACTTTTCCAGAGACCACCGCAGCTCCCAGTGAACGCCCACAGGATGGCCTGCCAGAGATCACATCCACCGTACTGTCCTCCTTTTCACACTTGGTTTCCAATGACTTATTAGTCCTTTTGCTTTCCTAGGCTCTGAGCCCTGGTTCACGCAGATGCAGTGGCTTCATGGGGCTGCTCTCACTGCCCTTGTCCCATGTTGCCTTCTTGCCTGGTGTATTGTAAATGAGGACAGGGCTGGCCTTGCCTGTGGGACCACCTTTGGGCAGCTGTACATGAGTTAAAATTCCATCCCTGATATTTGTCTCATTCCTTACTCGAGCAAAGAAGAGTGGGCCTGGGGGCGCCTGGGTGGCTCAGTCAGCAGTTGAGTGTCCAACTCTTGATTTCAGCTCAGGTCATGATCTCAGGCTCATAGGATGGAGCCCCTCGTTGTGCTCCATGCTGAGCTGTTTTAAGATTCTCTCTCTTCCTCTCCCTCTCCCCCTCCCACACACACACAGTTGTGCACATGCAGATGCACGCAGTCTCTCTCAAAAATTAAAGAGAAAAAAAGAGCTGGCCCGTAACAGTGAAAGTGATACAGGGGATGGGGGGACAGTTGGTGCCGATGTGCTTTCAGTCCATGGTTTTGCTGTTGAAGGCACATCGTGGAGGACATCACAGTTCCCATATCTGGTGAAGGGAGGAGGATTAGACCAGAATAATGGGCGTCCCCCAGCCGTCCCGTTCAGCGTTCCGGGGGGTCTGTGGACATGCCTTTATATAAAGCAGTTGGGATTGGCTGCTGTCTCAGCAAAGCACCCACGGGTTCTGAGGGCATTGCTACTGTGCTGTCTCGAGGTCGGTCTGTTTCCTGATTCTGCTGTGGTAGGTGCACATCGAGTTCACAGAGGGTGAGGACAAGATCACCCTGGAAGGCCCCACAGAGGATGTAAACGTGGCCCAGGAACAGATCGAAGCCATGGTCAAAGACTTGGTAAGGTGGCCCTTTGCATATTCTCGGTGCTGCTGAAGCCGGGGCATAGCCAGGATGTCATTGCTTGCCTGTCACACATCACGTGGGTGGGTGGGCCTGGGGACACCAGGGGTGAGTGCTGGGCTCTGAGACAGAACCTGGCAAAGTCCAGGAGGGTCACAGATAGAAGGGCCTTTCAGGGGGGCCCAAAGGACAATCTTGGAACAGTGGCTGATGGTAGAGTTCCAGAGAAAGGCCACGGCTGCCAGCTTGTGGACCAGGGTTGTGGTTGCATGTCTGGGACTGTGGCACATGCTATGGCCTCAAGAGCTTGTCTCTGGACCCATTCTGTTCTCCTCCTGCAGATTAACCGGATGGACTACGTGGAGATCAACGTGGACCACAAGTTCCACAGACACCTCATCGGGAAGAGCGGGGCCAATAGTGAGTGGGGCTGACAGCGCCGAGGGTGACCGTGGTGGGAGAAAGTCAGTTTCAGACTGGGTGTCCTCGCCTTCTCCTCGGGCTGTGGTTGCTCTGGAGACCTGGGACCTGGTCAGAGGCCACGGTGAAGGCGCACCTGAGCCCAGTGGGCGACATCCCTGGTTTGCAGTCTTCATGGAGTCACTACTGCACAGTCCCCTGGTGGAGCTCCCCGAGAAGTAGGAAAGATCAGGCCTCACGTGCATGTCTTTTGGTGTGGGGAGGGGTCGTCTGGGCACGTAGTAACACTGCTGCCCACGTAAGCTCTGTCAGACAAGGAGGGTGGGTGCGGTTTGCAGGAAGTGTGCTGAGTGAGTGCTCTGCCCAGATGGAGAGCGTTTTCTAAAACCCCACGCCTGGGCCCAGCTTGCCTGTGAGGCCGCCCCACACATCACAGTGCGCTCCCTGTCCCTGTGTCTGAACTGCAGTGGAAGGTGAGAGGGCAGCGCATGGCCCGGCCTGGGTCCTTCCTGAGGTTGCAGGGAACCCACCTGTGTAGACAGGGTGCCCTGCGAGTGTGTCCTCTTCAGTTTTTGCCCGATGTAGTCCAGTTTTTGTTTGTAGTAAGTGTAAGCTTGTCAGCTCTGCTGTATTTGGTGCCAGTATTGTGTTCCCAGGGACTTTACACGATGATAGTGAGAGTCCACGGACGCAAAGTCCATGGGAGCTTTCAGCAGTGCTTCCTTGCACGCACTGCTCAAACCATGCACACTCTGTAACTTGTTTTTGTTGTTTTGTTTTGATTAATAGTACAGTGTCTTTTGTTTAAAGAACATAAGGAAGTGTGGTTCTGACATTCATTTCTGGTGTCTGCTCCCTAGGAGTGTGAGGCCACCAGGGTGGTTCACATTACGTCTGTCCTGTTTTTGGTTTCATTCCTTCCCCCCCTTTTCTTTCATGATCTGAAGTCTCCTGCCCGGCTTCTGAGTCCTTGGCTCTGGTTGTCTCTGCATGTGCTCACGACACTCCTCGGTGACCCCTACGGAGCTTGGGCAAAGTCTGGTCTTGTTTCATGGGACAAGGCCTTCCAGGGTGTGGGGGCATGGGTCTCTAACTGCAGACACTGGGCTCTGTCCAAAGAAGGTGACAGAATTCCATATGTTTTTTTTTTTTAAGA